AAATGGAAGCTGGTACCTGTCTCCAGTTAGTGGCAGTATTACGACTGCTCTGGCTGAAAAGACGATGTAGGAAACCCTCATCCTGGGACTGAAACACACACAGGCAGGAAGCTTGTTAATCTTATCTGCAGTACAAAAACAACAATCTGAAAAAGGCCTTTTTAACTTTTAATGTCAACATGTTAAGTGGGTTTTGTCCTTGTTTCAACAAAAAAGACATCCATATAAACTCTTTTATTAGCTTTGATTTCCAGTTTTATGATTTCCAGTGGACATTTGTTGATAATCTGTTTTAAATTGGATCTATTTAAGCAAACGAAGAAGAACATTCAGTCATCAACAGTGTTAAATAAATATTTATTAAAGTTCATAAATTATATGTCTCGTTCTTTTTATCATGTTGTATTTGTTTCATATTATGCCTACAAAATACACCCCAAAACAAATATCTAAACATCGACATAGCTAATGAAAAACCCATTTCAGTAGAACACTTTTATAGAAACAACACTGTAACAGACCATGACAGGACAGTATGTGTTTTTAATGTGACATAATAAAGTGTATTGTAATGTAGCACAAAACACAGCAAGACACATAACAATATACTATATTTCCCATTACAATACAGAACATAAAAAAAGGTAGATAATACCATGTGGCAAAACATGACAAGACATTTATTAAAAAAGTGAGTTCAGGTTCACAGGAAAATCTCAGTGTTTTTTTCACTCACTGATCTTTACATTGTACGAAACAGAACTCCTAACGTTGTCAGTTACTTCGTTTTGTATATACTTCATGCAGTGAAGGGAAACACGACAGTCTGTTGTGGTCAGAATAACTTTCACATCTGGCCAGATGTTTAGTTCTCATATGTAGCAATCAGTTATTAAACCTAAAAGTATCACACACACACACACACACACACACACACACACACACACACACACACACACACACACACACACACACACACACACACACACACACACACACACACACACACACACACACACACACACACACACACACACACACACACACACACACACAAACAAAACAACAAAGCCCTGTTAACTCAGAGGGGTTTGGAGCAGTTGGTGGCCCTGTATGATGTCCAAAATAAACATGCCCTACTTTCTACCCACTACCACTGTTTGTATCATGGTTTAAAGACCTATAATAACTTCTCAGTGTTTAAATCGTTTTTTATTAGTTTAAATATGACTGTAGTTCAAATGCAATATGTCATTAAAACACTTTACTTGGTCTTGAAGTGTGCTATATAAAGTTTTATATGATTCCATATTTCTGAGGCTATTTATAGTAAATAAAACCATAAAACCTGCGAATGGGGTGGGGGGAGAGGAGGTGCCGTAGAGATAAGAGAGGGATAAAAAGACTTTACTCACCTGACAAATCTGTTGGTGAGCTGCTCCACAAATCCATAGATCTCATTCCAGTGTCCAAACACACTGCCTGACCTGCAGAAACAGGAACATCAGAGCCATACATCAAAATCACCTACATATACACATGTATCAAAATACTATAACACAATACCCAACATCAAAGCATAGCCAACCCTGAAGACAAAGAGGGGAGTCCATCAATACATTAAATTAAAATGCATTTGGATAGCTTGAATTGTCTGTATAAGAGGCATACATTATTATGCAGTGATGCAGTGGGTAAATGCATTCAAGGGACTACGTTTGTTTTTGCTTTACGACAACATAATACACTGAGAATAACTCTGGAGGAAACAAAAGAGGACTTTCTTCAAGTCTACACATCAAACCCTGATGGTCAGAGCCGAAAAAGATGAAAATAAACTCTGTCTAACCTCCAGTGAATCGGCATAGGGACACTGAGAACTAAACAGAGCCATACATGGAGAGGACTGAGTCCAGACTGCTCTGACACAAGGATTACCTTTTATTTATATATTGGTTACCTGTTGGCTTCTTTTAAGCATACACATGCATGCAGACAACTGATCCAATATGTGTGTACTCACCTGTCTAAAACAAAATAAATATCAAACGCTCCATCACAAGAAGCATCGTCACCATCAGGCAGTGATGAATTCACACAAACACTTAGAAAAAGTAGGATCTGGGAACATATCCATATCAGATCCATAATCCATGTGTCTCATATCAGCAGGGTGTTTGATAACAAATGTTTCAATAATCCTTAAATCAGCTGCTTTGAGTCTGTTATCATCTGCTTGGCATCAGCCCGGCGGTTCACATGTTGAAGTCCCTGCTGAGTGGAAGTGAAGAGGATGTGTGTTCTCTGACAGCAGGCTGATCATGGAATTAACTGGGCAGGGCATACAGCTGCTGCACACAGCCCTCCAACCAGCAGCAACAACACAGAGTGGGACTTCCTCCAGGGTTTTTCACATTAAACGGGAGACATGATTGTAGCAAAATACTACTAGTCTGCTACCAGTCTACTACTAATCAATCGTTTTGATATACTTTAAGAATATTCTATATTATAACTTAATGTTTAATTAATTACAAGTTATTTTTAACATTTTTATTTCATTTATACAATTTTCATGTGTTTTTTATGTAGGCTAGCTTTAATATGCTTATATTTATTTTACTTTATATATATTTTTTACTTACAGGGACTCTTTAAATTCATTTCCCAAGCTGAAAATGTGTGTAGAAGTACATTTTATCAAGTACGGACCCTGGAAAAATGTTTCACAAGCTAATTAAAACAACTTCTGTAATAAAATAGTTTGCAGAGGGACAATAGAAATATAGCATTAATGTTATTAAAGATGTACAGAAAATCATAATGCTAAAATGTCTGGTAGTAATATAATTGCTCAAATAAAATGACATGTATATATTTATAATGTATGATGTCCTTTATTGTTTTATGTTTGTTTTATGTTTCATGTGGAACCTATTTGCTGCAGGTCTCCCTTGAAAAAGAGATCTATGATCTCAATGGACCAATCTGGTTAAATAAAGGTTTGAAATGAAATGAAATCACTCGGCACAGCGAAGAGTACATTTTCCGGTTTATATGCACAAATACATATCTAAATAATAACTTTATAAAGCAAAGCAATATGAAGTGAATATTAATTCCTATTATGGGAAAATGAACAAGTATTGTATGTTATATTAGAAATACGATTAAATAATAAAGTAAGACTGTGCAGAAATAAATCTTCCTAACATTCAGTTGCTTCACTATGCTTTTATTTTGAAGGCCAGAGCAGCTGGCATAAATAGTGATAAAAGGATAGAATGACAGAGTGAGGGTTACAATAACTTAAATACAGAAAATATTTGAGCCATACATATCACTATCAAAAAAAGGAGAGGAGCGAGCCAATTCCTGTCCTATAAACCAATGAAACCCTTCTTGGTAGTAGTTTAAAGAGTGTTTTCTAAGGGGGCCATGTTTTAATCAACATGTGTTCCTCTGAAAATGAACATTACAGCAATTACTTATTATTACAGGATATGTGTTGACTCATTGGTAACTCCCAATAATGATGTAATTCATCTGCTCGTGAAAAAAAGCAGAGCATACATTTCCTTCAAATCGATTGCATGTGAAAAACAAAAGTCGATATGCTTACACAACTCCAACAATAAAGAACGCCCTTGGTGTGTCAGAAGGATTTGCTGCCATGAAATGTTCTGGTCCAAAGGAAATTAAATCTACTTTTCGGAGAAAAAAACGGTTCTTATGATTCTCCTCATCATGTTTCTTTTACACTGCCATGTCACCAAAAGCACACTTGATAATGTCGTCATTATATTTCAATGTGTCATTAAGTAATGTCGAAAGCAATATACTTTCTCAAAAACATGTACATGTATGTCATCAATCTTGTTCAACACATCCGGGAGTTGCTTTGTTGTGTGGTGATGTCATTATAGCAGTTCATTGTGTTTGCAGGGATACAATGCCTGCAGCTTCCCAGTACATTACATTTCAACTTTAAGGAGGATGTAGTCATGACAGTAAACAGATCCAATAATAACATACCACAGTCATTGTGTCAGCAAATTGCATCTATTCTGTTTAATCTTCTGCTAGCCAGCGATTCCCCTTGGATATTTGTATCATGAAAGGCCGTATTGGATTATTGGATCTGTGCTTTAATTTTGGGTGTAGCAGTTGGACTATGAAACAAAGAATCCTATTACAACAGCCCTCCAATCATTGCTCTCTTTTTTCTGTATTCAAATAACACAACATTTAACATTTAAACAACTAAAGAGGCGAAAGGGGAAAGAGGGACCACAGAATAAATGTGAAAAACTAGTTTTAAACTGAACAAATGTGAGCAAAATGAAATGTAGGAGATGCTGTCATACCTGAAATATTGAATTTTCTCTTGATATGTTAAAAAGTGAGAATGAGAATGATGATGTGAATTTGTTTAGATTTGATATGTGTCTGTTTGTTGTTGTTGTTGTTGTAAATGTTATACTTATGTTATATCACTCATCTTTGGCTGGCAGAGAACTCTCCAGATGGAAAACTGGTCTCGATTCTATTGGGCTGAAAGGACTGATGGCAGAAAGAAGGGATCACCAGTGATTTGACCTTAGTAGAAAACAAAACAGAGATAGTGTGTCTTCATTCAAACCACTGCAGGTTAAGTTTGTGACCAGTTAATCCCACCACCAAAGCCAAAACACATTGATGTATTTAAGGGTGTAGCCACAAGCCTGGTCTAGTGTTATTAAACTGTTGCCAGATGTAGGGGTGTGATTTTCATTGTATATCTTGGTTAAGACATCTTCTAAAATCACAGCAATAAGCATACTGCAGGATATGAATTTCGACTTAACTAAAAGCATTTGAGAAATTAATTTGATACATCATTTTAAACACATTTTTGACAGAAAAGCTCAGGAGAATAAATGGCTCCAGGTACCATCCTCAACCCTTACCAGTTGGTGGCAGTAACGCATCCCACGATCCCACCGCACCGTTATGTCGTTTACTATCAAACAGAAGAGGAAATGTGTGCTGGTGTTATGTAGCTAAGGATGGCTAAAATGTAATTATTTTTAAAGCAATGATATATTAAAAGTCCAGATATGGCTGAGTTTCCTGAACAAGGATATCGACGGTCGGACACCGGTTTATGGTGAGCGTTGTTTTCAACCAGTTTGGCTGGCTAGAATAAAGCTGTCAAGGTTAGCATTGACGTTAGCAAGACCGAAACGTAGCCTGCTAGCATCATGGCTTTTACAATAACAAAACGGTATCACACACAGTTTAAATATGTAATTGTTGCTGGTTTTAAAAAGCTTTACGTCGAAGTGAAACATTAAATAATGTCTGTGTTGAACAGTTGACATGCTGAGGGTTTAGTACAAGGTGGTTACGAAGCCATGCTTTCAGAAGATGAAGGTGTCAGTTTACATATTAACCAACGTTAGCTTTAGCTTGCTTAACAGTCATATGTAGCTAATAACAATAATAATTGTAAATGCTCTTAATAAACACTGGGAGTTATTACACAAACAGTAGGCCTAGCTGTTAACCCAGTTTTCTGCCCATAAATCTTTATTCAGTCATTTGAAAACCAGTTATTGCTAGTGCTACTGCTTTTTACTTTTTTTTACTACCTATGCTGTAAAATGTATTATCTCTTCGATTTACACACGGCATCTATTGCACGTCTGTCCTTCCTGGGAGAGGGATCCCTCCTCTGTTGCTCTCCCTGAGGTTTCTCCCATTTCCCCCCTTAAACTGTGGGTTTTCTCCGGAAGTTTTTCCTTGTACGATGTGAGGGTCTAAGGATAGAGGGTGTCGTAACGTCATGCTGATATTCTGAACAATCTGTGCTTATTGTATTAGCTGTAAAGTGTCTCTACTGTAGGCTATTTTTATTATATGTACAGCACTTTGGCTCGACCACAAATCGTTTATAAATGTGCTATATAAATAAAACTTGATTTGATTTTTACTAACCGGTGTTTTCTCCATTCCTCTCCCCAGACTCAGCCTTCACCTCCCCGGCTTGTACCTGAGGAGCTGCTGAGGACAGTAAGGATGCTGCTGAAGATGCCCCAGAAGCTGCTGAAGACTGCCAACTTCATCGAGCTGGGCAGCTACCAGCACTGGCCGGTGCTGATAACCCAGAGGATAAGGCTGTACACCTACGAACAGATCCCCCTCTTCCTCAGAGAAAACCCCTTCATCACAGACGGCTACAGGGCCCACCTGCCCTCCAAACTCTGCCTGAGGAGGTAGGAGCCATGTTGGACGTTTCTAAAGGTTTGGGAACTCAGTGGTGCATGCCTTGTTTACACATGTATCTTTGTTTCTCCATTTTCTCTGCAGTATTTTTATGCTGTCCAATGAGACTGTGAATATTTGGAGCCATCTTCTGGGTTTCTTGCTTTTTTTCTACCTGGCGGTCAACGACCTCACCTCAGTACTGCCAGCCTCTGGAGTGAACAGAGAGGACTACGTCATCTACGCTATTGGACTCTTCTGCTTCCAGGTACAAAAATGGCTGACTGAGAGTGGCAAAAGCTAGAATATTCTTGAGAATATCCAATATTGTGGTTTAATGTATTTTTTAATTGAGACATGAATTGAATGCGAAGATGTTGTGTTCTTTACAGTCATAGAGTGTGTTCCAGCTTTTAAAAAATAATCTTCCCTTAGTTCTTTCAGCATCTATGCTAACCTAAAAAGGTGTGCATGTAATGTAGCTACTTTAACATACATTATCAACCTTTTGATTTTTAAAGCTGTTTACTGGTCTTACTTTAGAGTTGTTGTACTGTATTTAAAGGATGTATGTATAACTTATTCATGTAGGTTCACGTTTCCTGTCACAGGTGCAATCAGTTGACCTCAACCCACCCAGGTCTGTAAACTGTGTAGGGTTAGCTGTTACCGTATTAAAAAGAGCAGTAGGCACTATAAGAACAATAGGAATGGCAATGTAGTTTGGCGGTCCATTGTTCAATGTAGAGACTGTGTTTCTGTGTCTGTCGCAGTTGTTAACGTGATTAGAAACATATTCATGTTGCACAAGTTTGTGATTCCCATGTTAGTATAGTATAATATGTTTCCTGCCTCCCCCTTTTTAAACCTCTTTATTTGTCCAATTCGAGAGCAAGCTGTGAGTATCTCGATTGTTTTGTCGAAGTCCTTATTTCTTGAGGTGGATTAATGTAAAAGAGTCCCAGAAGTATTTTTCTACTTATATTAAATAAACCAAATATTTATTTGTATCAAAAGAATATCTAATCATGGGCTGAAGGTTTTTTCATTATCAATTATTCTGCCAAGTGCTAACCATTTTAAAGATTCACCTTTTTGTCTAAAACATTTGAGAAAAAAAATGGTTATGTCTTTAAATGTCCTTTTTGTCAGTCCTTAACACAACAGCCTTCCTTGTTTTCACTGCAGGTGTGCATGTTATGTTCTGTGGGGTATCACCTGTTCTCATGCCACCGATCAGAGAAGACCTGCCGCCGCTGGCTGTCGTTGGACTACGCAGGAATCTCTGTCGGCATCCTGGGCTGTTACGTGCCTGGGATCTTCTACGCTTTCTACTGTAACGCTGTAAGTACATTTTTATCATTTCATTCATTTGAACTATTTTCAATATGTACTTACAAGTGTGTGTATTCATTTAAAGTTTATTTTTGTATTCTTAGTATATGTACAATTTAAGTCGATGTGCTTAAAAAACTAATGTTTTTAGTGTATCTAAGTTCATTTGCATGTATCTGTGCGCTTAAAGCAACTCTAATTAGACTATGTAATCGGTTACTCTCCTATTTTGCAGTTTTGGCGACAGTTGTACCTGCTGACGGTGCTGTCGCTGATCCTGGCCGTCTTCTGCGCTCAGGTCCATCCTCGTTACCTCAGCAACGACTGGAAACGGATACGAATGGCTATCTTCTGCTGCGTGGCCGGCATCAGTGTTGTTCCCTCCTGTCACTGGGTCGGGCTCAATGGTGGATTATCCACTGATGTTGTACAGGTGAGGCAATGCCGTAAGATTAGAAAACAAGCAAAGCTAGTGTATTCATTTCATAATAAACATGTTTTACTCAGGATTTTGTTGTATGTGCAGTTGTTCCTGCCTCGCATCCTAGTGATGTACCTCATAGCTGGAACTGCCTTCCTGTTCTACGTCACCAAGATCCCTGAGCGCTATTTCCCCGGTGAGTCCTCCTCCTCTGTCTCTTTAACTGAGTGATACATTTGGTCAAGGCACAACATGAAAAATGCTGTAACTGAAATGACTATGGCTGCGTCTCACTTTGGTTAAATGGATTCCTTGCGTTGTTTCCCTGCGACTAGTCCCTCCCACCAGGGAAGCATGGAGAGACGCAAGGAAACCACGAGAAGCAGGGAAATTAGTTTTAAGAGCAATGGGACGTCCTTTCCTCCGGGGCGCCACGTGAAACGACGTCCGTTTGTGATGACGCTGCACAGCTGATCGTCTGACAGCAGCTCTGTCCCTGTTATTTCCACACACACCCCCGCCTTTGTTAGTACACATTTACTGACACAAACATTTGTATCATCTGTTGTAGACCCAAATAAATAAAATAAGAACTCATTCTCAAAAAAGATAAACGCCATTCTTAAAATGTATAAACGAACAATAGTTTGATTAATATTGATTAGAGTGCACAATAGAAATAAAATAATTGAGAGAAGAAAAAGAGATATGTTATCTATCAAAACCCAATAATAAATAATAATAATAATAAATAATATTTTTATAGCGCCTTTCAGGAAACCCAAGGTCGCTTTACAAGTCGGGTAGGGGGGGGGGGGAGTAGGGGAAAAAAGGCAGACAGGTTAAGGGGGTGGGGGGGGGGGGAAGTAGCGGAAAAATAAACCTATTAAACTAACTATACAGTGGCGAAAGCCTTGGTAAAAAGGTGCGTTTTGAGGGCTTTTTTGAAAATGTCCAGGGTTGGGGCGCTGCGGATTTCGGGGGGGAGAGAGTTCCAGAGGGTGGGGGATGCCACACTGAAGGCTCTGTCACCAAAAGTCCGCAACCTGGTGCGGGGGGTGGAGAGGAGATCCTGTCCAGATGATCTTAGCTTCCGGGATGGAGTGTGGTAGCGGAGAAGGTCAGACAGGTATTGGGGGGCGAGGGCATGGAGGGATTTGTAAGTCAGAAGAAGGAGTTTATAGGTGATACGGTGCTTGACTGGGAGCCAGTGTAGGTGGATCAGGGTGGGGGTGATGTGCTGCCAGGGCTTGGTGTGAGTGAGCACCCTGGCAGCCGAGTTCTGCACATACTGGAGCCTGTCCAGGGCTTTACTGGGAACCCCGAACAGGACTCCGTTGCAGTAATCCAACCGGGAGGAGACGAATGCATGAATGAGGGTCTCGGCCACGGAATCAGAGAGTGATGGTCGTAGACGGGAGATGTTCCTGAGGTGATAGAAGGCAGACTTAGTGACGGATTTGATGTGTGACTGAAATGAGAGAGTGGAGTCAAGGATGACACCCAGGTTACGGACTTCGGGAGACGGGGAGATGGAACAGCCGTCAATGTGGAGGAGGAGATCCCCAACCTTCCGGAGCAGTGCTTTGGGGGCCACAACCATGAGCTCAGTCTTCTTACTGTTGAGTTTGAGTAGATTTGCTGTCATCCAGGTTTTTATGGCGTGGAGACAGTTGACCAAAGACTGTGGAGGGAGCTGGGCGGATGGTGAGGTGCTGAGATAGAGCTGAGTGTCGTCAGCGTAGCAGTGGAAATTGAGACCGAATTGACGTATGATCAAAACCCAGTTAGATTAACATTCATTGGATTGCACACTTTGTTTGTTTGGATATGTAGCAAATTAACATTTGAATAGCACTTAATGACTGACTGAATGGAAATGACAATAAATTAAAATGTAAAACGAAAAAAGCGATCATGAAAATGTTTCCAAAAAATGAATAAAATGATTTTTGACCACTTTGTTGTTCAGATATATCACATATTTGTAACTAAATGATACATTAATTGAAACAAAACACAGTATAAACTGAGGAGTGACTCCCGTGAGGTTCATGTGTTTTCTTCACTCCGCTGGGAAACTGCTCTCATGTCAAGAAGCATCAGATCAGTGCATGCGCTGCATCGTCCAATCAGTGAGCGATACACAGTAAGGGGGCGGGGCGAGTGTCTGAGGATTTCACCAGAGGATGGTCTGGTGGTTCCTCGATTATCGCTCCTCCGTTATCGATCCTCCGGCACAAATAAGGCCACTGGGACGCTGCTCAAGATGGCGCAGACAAATCAACTTCTGGTGATACCGAGACTGAGGAAATTAAAAATAAGCGAAGTGAGATGCAGCCATAATCTCTGTTAATAATAAGAAAGCAAAGCCGTTTCATTTTTATTTAGCTGTTTTTTCTAACTTGCTCTAATATTCTAAACGTGTTGATGCTACTGTCTTGGCCAGGACTCTCTTGTAATAGAGATTCTGAATCTCAATGGATTAAATAAAGATGTACAAAAATAAAACACTGATAAGAAATTTATTTTTGTGATGGTAACTAATGAATTTACACCAGAATGATTAAAAAAAACAAAGCATGTATTCAGTATTATTTTTCAATTATTTCTAGTGGACTTGAAAATCTCACAGCTGAAACATATTTACTTAATTACCACTTAACGAATAAACGCAGGTTAGCTGCTATACTCACTGTCATAGCAGCAAAAGCACAGGTGTTACTAATGACACTAACGATGGCACTCTTCTATTCAAGTGTCCCAGTGGACAGAGAGCTTTGAATATAAGATACCAACATAGGCTGATGTATAACATATATAGGTCTTCTATTCCTCCTGAAGTATATTTTCATTCTCGTAGATTGTAAATCATGCATGAAAATGAACAAAAAGAAATACGTGCATTATTCAAAGCATTTGTTTCGCCCTTTCTCTCCCAGGCCAGCTGAACTACCTGGGTGCCAGCCACCAGGTGTGGCACGTGCTGGTGGTGTTGATGTTTTACTGGTGGCATCAGACGGCTGTTCACATCATGCAGTTCAGGCACAGCCGGTCCTGCCCCCGGACCAGCAGCAGCTAAGTGGAACTGATCAAATAATGTCATGTAAAGGCAATCAGTTGCTGTCAGCAAACATCAGTTAGATCTTTTAAAATTCATGAAATACTTCTTAACACTTAGCTGCAGGTTAAAATGTGATAGCTAAAGGTATACCACTGACTACCAGGAACTCTCTGACTGTAGCTATAGCTTTCACTGACCTGTTGTTAAAGGCCAGTGTGTAATCTACTGTCTCATACAGTAGATATTAACTAAGCTACTGTAAAGCTATAATTCTTGTAACCACCATAATATTAATGCATGAAGCAAGAATCCTAATAGAAAAAATACTACGGTTTGGTGTTTTTAATTGATGATCATCTTATCTCATGGTTAGTTTCTTTGTACAGAAATATTCCAAAAAACGACTATACGGATTTTTTTTAATCAAACATAATAGCCTGTGTGAGCAATGATCATCTGATTGTGTTACATCTATCAGCTCCTATACGATTGTATGACATTTTGTGATGAAAGCGCAGAACAAAAATCCTGAAAAACTGGAGATTCAATTTATGAACACTGTGAACTGTCTCTGGAAGAAATATTGTGTCACCACCTCAAGTATTTTAACATTTTGTTAAAGTTCAACAATCAATTAATATCTAAGAACATTTGGGAACTTTATTTTAGCCTTGTGTGTTGTTCTTTTTTGTGGAATTTGTATTTGATTTATTTCGGTGTGTTTTGAACAAATCGTTACAATGGCAAATGCTGTATTTATATAGTGGAAGCTCATCTAAATAACACAAATACTAATAGAGGTGATTGGGAGTTTGGTTTCTGGAGCTCGCTGCATTTTAAAATGAATAATTTAAGCAAACACTGTTTATTTTAAAAAAAAATCAACCTGAGCCAGTAAAACTATGTGCATAGCTAGAGTAAAATGGTTTTGATTTTGATGAAATGCCCCTTTAACAACCACTTGCATTGAACGATAAAGACAAACACACATTTTGCTGACAATCCAGTGACGGTAGCACTTCCACTGCGTCTGATAAGGCAGGCTCCTGCTACCTAAGGTCTGTCATAAAAGCTGGGGGTGTGAAAAATCCTCATTAGTCTATTTAAAGTTTTTTTTTTTTTTTAAATAAGGCCAGTTAAAGTGTTACCTTAATCACATTTATTTTTAATGTTAAGTGTTAATTTTTTTTTTAACATTTTACGATCACATTTATACTTTATTTGCCTTATTAACTTTGAGTGTTTCTACTGTATACCCACGAACTGTTACAATACGTTTCGGGGCAATAACCCTCAGAAAAAATGATCAAACTCCGACCGATTTCATCTTTGCTGTTACACCACAAGGCCAGTATGTTTTGTTTTCTAAATGTAATACAATTTAGTGTTTGGAATAAATTAGGAATCTGCTGCAGAGCTGGAAATCAGGTGCTGAAAAAAGTGACTTTATTTTGCCTTTTTGTGAATGTGTGTTTTTATTTTCTGAACTTGAAACCTCTAGGTATCAAACTGCATGATCTTTTTGCTGAATGATCTCGTGATTGTGTTTTCCTTAGACATCATTTGTATGACAAAGCACTGGCACTGACTTTCAAAATGTACAATATTTATTTCAGTGCCTATGTGAAATTATATTTTTAAACATTTTGAATGAATAAAGAATGCTGGGAAATACTTCATTGGAGAGTCTTTTTTATTTTTTAAACCTCAGAATTATTTTCATTTTTTATTTTTGTATTTACCCTAATCTGTGCTAAGTTGAGTATCATTGCAGAAAAACGTTGAAGCTTTCACTTTAATGAATGTATAATGCACATTGTAGAAACAGTGAACTTCTATTTTAATCCAAATATATTGTACAGGTTTCCTATATTTTATTGGAATTTTTATTACAAATTACAGGGATTTTAATGTATTTCAGATGTGTTGTGCATATATTAAGTATTTATTTATTCTTATTTAATCTAATTTTCTTTACAGTTTATTTCATATTCATGTTTATATACTTATTTAAATAATGTGGTTCATTTTCTTTTTACATTTTCTTTATCATTATTAACTTTTGTACTTGCCTTGGTTTTTAATTTAATTTACCTGCTTGTTTTTGCTGTTCACAGTCTTGAACAGTAGAGGGCATCATTGACACAAAAGTTCCCCATTTAGAAGTAACAGTTAACATTAACTATTAAAACGTTCAGATTTGTCAAAACCGCACTAACACAAAATACTCACACGTGTGTCTCCTAGAGCAATTTGTGTTCACCATATTACCAATTTAACCATCCATTGTATTCTGTGAAGCTGAATCTTCTCAGTGTTTCACAGTAGAGGGCTGTGAGGGCTACAAGCCTCACAAAAAAAACACACATGCTAAAGGTTATGCTTTTTGTTTTACATCAGACATACACATTTATTTGAAACAGCTTTATTTAGCTAGATTGAGTGCACGCAATCTTTTTTAAAATATTAATTGTGTTGTGTGTAATTCTATCGTCAGTGTCTTGCAACTCTCCTTGCTCCTGGCAAAAGGCTGAGCTGATGAAAACCACCTGCCTTTATAGATGTGTCAGCTAATTGGACTACGCCATTCCTCTCAAACCCTGAGGGGTGTTTAAAGAGGCCACTCAATTTAAGCTACCCCTTTTTAGGGCCATTTCCCCCTGCACGCAACAATGGACTGGCCAGTAGTGCTATACATTCCTGCAGTGTGGATGAAGGGGGGGTATGTGAGTTGCTCTTGGGCAGAAGAGCACACAGGATGTCACCCATTTTTGTGACGTTTTGTTTATCCATTAATGCTAGATTGTGTCGGTGTATATCATTAATGATACACCTTTTTGTTTAATCCTAATTTATTTTGTTACCCATCTTAAAACTGTACATATTGGGTAAATAAAATCCTTATTTTTTTTCACTTCAACCTGCATTCCTGATTTTTGCGTACCCTGGGGCCTCATTTATAACACTGTGCGTAGGATTCACGTGGGAAGGTTGCTTACGTAGTAGAAATCCAAAAAATAGGTACAGAAATGTTCGGACATTTTCCGATTCACCAAACATTGCGTACCGACGAGGAAAGTGCGTACAGCGCTTCCTACGCCGGTTTCCCTTTATAAATCACAATCGACTCGAAATGCGGTGCAGCTTTTGCGGGCTTCACGTAACGCCCATATTTGCCTATAAATAGTCAAAGAAACGCCCATTCATTCATTCATTCTGACTGACTTTATGAAGAAGATCGCAGGAAATGACGACAGAACAGCTAAAAAACACATCTCACACCGTGTCAGATTTTGGTTATTTTGGGGAGGTCGAGATAAATCATATTGTTTGGTGGATGCAGTTTGAACCAGAGTAGCAGCATGGAGGTCGGATCGTCACCAAAATAAATAAATAAGTGGTCCGAAAAAGGTTCATAACAAAAATAATACACATAGCCTTCCTCAGGCAGTGTGTTTGTACCGGGGACAGGAGATACCCCCTTGATGAGAGACTGTAAGAAATGATCGGGGAATCCCTCCGGAGTGGAGTCATGACGACTGGATCTGAATTATGCTTTCGTATTCGGTGGTTTGTGTCCCAGCTGTCGATCAGCTGTGCGCAGCGTCTCCACTGCAGCCTGTGCGTCTCAACCCCCCCCCCGCAGCAACCCTATATCCACCAGTTAAAGGACATACAACTAATGTGTTGTGTTATATTAGCTGTACAATTTACCACATGGTGTTCTTAGTTTCCATACCTCCTGTGTTTTATGAGCGTCTTAGCAAACGGCATAAAACATGATTAAACATGGTAGTATATAAAACCATGCTCGTACAACCTATATAAATGCAAAACCGCATCATTTATGAGAAAACATTTCATAACATTAACACAACATATTCGAGGTGGTTTTAAATAACATATCCGTATTTATTTATTTCTCCAAGTTATGTTCTTGTGTGCACTGAGGAGTCTCAAACAGGCGTTTGTTTAATCATTTTAAGATTGGCTTTAATCAATGTTTGAAAATGAATTCTTCATATGATAAATGAGAGGTAACATTTTGTTTATGGTATTATTTCCACATATTTCTCTCCATTCTTCCTTCTGCCAACGGTGTCGCAGTTTCTCGTCTCTCCCGTTGTTGTGCTTAGTGCGTACGCATGGGTCAGAGTTTGCGTGGAGGACCGCACGTTTTCCCGTCAAGTTAGTATTTTATAAATCGCAAACATTGCGTAGAAACTGGCGTACGCCATTTTTTGAGCGTATATCCCTTTATAAATGAGGCCCCTGGTCCTTCACAAGGGCTTTCTGTTCAGCCAAAGTCAACTCATAGATATTTCTTAGATTAGGAAATTCATTTTCACAGCACTGTACATGTACACAATATATAAACAACAACAATAACTCAGACAACAACAGATAGTGACACATGGCGCTTCAGTAAGCACATTTTCTGTACCTACGCCCCGGATGGCAGTGGGGCGAGATACTGATTGAGTGGTTGTGTGATAATTTCTGTTGTGGTGCGTGAGATGGCTCTGTTGTTAAGCACTGTGAGGTTGGGCGTTGGGAGTCCAATTATACTGGCAGTGGTGTTGGTGATGTGTTTGAGTTTGGTGTGGTTGGTGACAGTGAGCATAGTGAACTCACTTCAGTAAGCATTTTAAAATGACATGCTTGTTAAACACATGGAACTCCTGATGACTTAGCAGGTTATAGGTTAAATCACTATAACAGTGTCGTTCTGAAGCCTGAAACACATCCTTCTTTCTCTTACCAAAGTCAGATTTCTTAAAAACAAATATATTTTACAAAAGTTTTGTAATTTAATTCCTGTCTGAGGGCAAAGCTGTAATCCAGAATGACTGCTGTGTTTCCCCTGTGGCTTTGGTAGCATGATAGTTATGTTTGAAAATGATATACTATCACTAAATCACCTCATAATGCTATAATGAATATTTTTGCAAATGGTTTCTGACAAAGTAATGATTAAAAATCATCATAATATAGCTAGCTTGTACTTGATTTTACTGGAATGAACCATAGATTATATGGCAGCAATGACACGTGCATGACCTTACTTTTACCTTTATTTTAACTTATTTAATCATTGACATCCTGGTAAAGACAGACAGCTGACTGTTAGTATTCTCAAGGTTAATAAATAAAAGATATACTTGAATGTGTAACTATGCTATAGATAATTACATATACTGTATATACAGTATGTACGTTTTTCTGCTTTCGAGACAGAGAGCCGCATGCAATGCTGTTAGTGCTATCATTCAGAATGACTGACTGTAGCAATATATTATGTAAGTAGTTGAAAGTATAATAATTATGTTAGCAAATAATAGCCATCTGCATATTACCTCACGGACTAATGGATAGCTGTGTGGAGCCTGACACAGCAGCACAGTCAGTGTTTACTGCTAAAGCTGCTCAGGTTAACTGAATCATCACATATCAAGTAACGGTGAACTTTTAATTGGAAGACTTTACATTTATTTAAAATCTTGAAAATAATGGCAATATCTTTTATATTTTTACAAACATATATATATATATATAACCTTATAGTCTAGCAGCAAGTCCTTAAAAAAGGCTTTAGTTTTCGAGATACCCCTACCCGAGGTAGAACAAATGACAACAATGATTTTTCTTATCTTTAGGGTCTGTCTATTAATTAATCACCAAATAGTCAGACAATTATTTAAATAAATAAAAAAAATAGTGGCTTTTTGGTCACCTTTCCCATATTCGGCCTGGTCTAATTTGGCTCTTTTTCAGGGATTGGGGTAGTTCTAAAGAACAACCAAAAAAACATTTTTTCCCCCAAAATAAAATTTGACAACAATCAATTTCATTAATGGGAGACCCTAAAGATAAGAAAAATCATTGTTGTGTTTTGTTCTACCTCGGGTAGGGGTATCTCAAAATCTGAGGGCCCTTCCTGCTAGACTATTAGATTGTTTGTGTCTTTTACATTGTTTTCAGTTTCTGTCATTTATTGTTGTCAACTTTTTTTTGTACTCTTAGTGTCACTGTAAAAATAACCATATAAACTGATTACGTCGAGGTCTGTGGATTATCCATACTAACCACAGTATTATTAAATGATAGATTGTGAATTAATCTTTCAAAATTAACTTTAAAATAATACTTTAACGTTTTTGGTCTTAAAACCAAAACACAAGCTGAAAGAGGCGAACTAAATAAAAGGCGAATTAGAGCTGAAGCAACAAAACGTTTACTCATGCCAATAACACACTCACAGACACAATATCTTTCCTAAAAACGGTCGGTTTAATTCAAGTATTGAACATTAAGGCAGTACTCATATATGGTTGTTGAATGTCAACACTGTCAATAATGAAGGTCAAGCTGACTTCCTCTAAAACATGATTCAATCAATATCGAAGTGAAATTAATACACAAAAAAAGGTTTGATGGCAAACAAGTGTATGAAAAATACATTTTTATTAAAATGGTAGTTCATCAACATTTAACACAGACATGTTAATCTTAAAATAAAACTACATACTTTTTTGATGTATTCCAAAAGTTAGTCTACTTTCAAAACCGTGTTATTATTTTACCTTACGTTTTGTACTTGGCAGCAACAGGATGAAAGACATAAGGGAAAACAGTGATTTAAGAGACACAGTGTTTGCTTATTTTGCAAGTAATAAAACATTTGATTAAATAAACTAGTGGTAGCAAGCAGCAATCCCCTCTTACTAGTGTGTTTTTTGTATGGCATTGTTAGCTGCCATCAGAAATAAAAAATACAAATACATGACTTGCTTTTCCATACAGCACCTGAAAAGGCATCACAAATGTGTTGGAGTCTTTTATTTTTACGAGAACAGATGTAGAAAACGTTTCTATCATTGTTTGGTGATCAGGGCAAGAGTACATGCTTTAATGATCCCAGGTATGATAACAAAGTACTCAGTCCTCCTGATTCACTTTAAGCTTCTATTCCTGCCACGAAAAAAGTGTTTCAGCTTCAAGTCAGGAAGAGTTTAACTGGCCTTTAAGATATTATATTGAGGTCCAATGTGATAGTTGGCACTTCAGAAAATACAGCAGATAGTGGATGGAGCTTCACGTCTGAACTCTTGACTCTGGATTGGAGCCATTTTGGACTCCAGCCAAAGTCTTGAAGTGATATAAAATGTAAAAACGGCTTTCATTGCAAAGAACGCTGTTCTTGACAGTGTTATATGACTGTGATGTCCCTGTGGGTTAATCTAGATAGGGGCCGTTTCTCAATCGCGAGTACACATGCTGCAGAGCAACTATTTCAAGTATACCACGTCATGGAGTGGCACCGAAGGACTGTTTAAATGCATGTTAAATGCCCAGCATTCTGCGCCACTCTATGACGTAGTATACTTGAAATAGTTGCTCTGCAGCATGTGTACTCGACATTGAGAAACAGCCAGGGTGTGGCTGTGCTGTCTTGATTGCAGTAACTCAGGGCACCTGGGTCTGGTGCCCTGCAGCTATTTAAAAGCCTCTGCTCCTCTCTGTCTTCCCTCTGCTTTCTCCTACAGGCACCTGGTTCGGTTGAGTATGTTATTAGTTATTTCAGTTGTTTTACTTTTTGCACCTCAACACCCTCACACATACATGTTCATGCAATCCTCACCCTGCAGTTACATTACTGATACCACTGACGTTCACACCTCATGCTTTACTTGCTTTGCACTTGATTAATTTGGCTAATTTGAATCACTTGCTTTAATAAACATATTTGTATAACCGTTGATATGGTGTGTCTCCTCTTTGTTGTGGCCTTTTGAGCCAGGTCATAACAATGACATACCCAGTTATTAATTAGGAACTTAATAGGAACTAACCTGTTAGTTATTCTTTGACTATGTTGGACCCTGTACCATTTGCATCTCCTGTACTGAAAAAACGAAAATGTGCTGAATGCCACAAAGCCTGGTTTGCAGTTGTCTTGCCTACCTGGATTTTCTTGGTACCTCCATGTTTTCTTGGACTAAACTTGTAAAAGGCTGTCTCAAAGCAGCCTAATGCAGAATTGTTTTAGAGGACAAGATAGCATACCAAAATTGCCTCTCCTTCGACCTTCTCTACACCCCAGAGTCTTCAGACCTGCTCTCTGCTGCTGCGTATGAATCTTTTGCATGAAGAACTGCAGCGTGAACTGTATGAAACAACCGACTGCTCATGTCTTTGTCATTTTTCCCAAAGAATTGTCCCTTCTGTAGGAGATCAATGACTGAGGTGTTACAATTTGCGAGGAACACGTTCACCCTTATCTCTCCATATTCCTTGACCAGCCCTTCAAAAGTGGCCATGCCTGTGGAGTCTATGAACGGGATAGCGGAGCAGTCTAAAACTATCGTGTGGAAATCTAGTTCTCTTTCGACAAGTCCAATGACAACCTCGCCATTGCTTTTATCTCCATTCGCTTTTATCTGCTTCGAAGACATATCTTTAGCCTTCTTCTCTTCCTTTCTCCTCTTAGTCAGCTCCAGGAAAGGTTCAACTCCGACAGCTTTGTAGAGAGATCTGAGGAATGAGTCCTTGTTGGCGTAATACAGAGGAGCCTGGAAGCGAAAGATCTGAACCCGGGGTGGTGGCATGAGGTTCTTGTACTCTTCCACATCTTCGTAAAGATCGACGTCACTGGCCTTGCCAAGGAGAGAGACCTGATACCGGACATCAGAATAAATGAGATTATGAAATTACAAGGCCAGTGTTTGTAATTATCATCATCAGGTCCATTACTCACCTTAGGGTTCTGGGTCTTATAGATTACGCAGATCATAGAAAACACTACCCCGACCACAAGACCAATCTCCACACTGATCAGAGCCGTGGCGAACATGGCGACCAGCCAAACAATACCGTCATCTCGGCTAGCACGCAACTTTGCCGGGACATCCTTAAACTTCCTCAGTGCCCCCCGAAGGCTAACAATGATGATACAGGCAAGAACGCACTTCTGGAGAGCGTAGAAGTAAGGCGCGAAGAAGAGGAGGACAAGAAGGACGACCAGGGCGCTAATCAGACTGGATATCTGAGTGAGGAGCAGAAACAGAGATGTTTTAGTGAGAGAGAGTTAACATTAACAGATACAATACTACTATGTTTGGCTTCTGCCGGGATTCTACAACTCAGGACAAACTTCAGTGATTTTTTTTATGAAACCATTTCCTCAGGCAAGTAAAGTCAGAACTTGCCATCAACTCCAAAAAGGACAAACCATTTTCCAAAGTATATTATTCACCTGTGTTTGGCAGCCTGTTGAGTCTTTCACCATAGTTTTTGCCAATGCAGCACTGGTGGTGAAGCAGTGAAAGAAGGAAGGGATGATGTTGCAAAAGCTGATGGCCAGCATCTCCTGGTTGGGACGGACTGTATATCCGTTCTTCTTAGCAAACATCTCGGACAGTGACACCGTGAAGGCAAAACTACAGTACAAGATAAAATGAAAGTTTGTTTATACATTGACGTTGAGTTGCCCTGATAAGCACGTTAACCTGTTAAGCCCGGGAGCCCCAACTTCTTGCAAGAAACAGCGTCTGAGGGCTTCTTAACATTTAACAAAGTATGAATGTGTCATACCCACATAACGGGAAGAAACTCAGCTACCTGACGATATGAACAATTTTTACCGAAACAAAACACAAGTCTAACGCCGAGCCTCTGAATTAGCATTAAGCGAAAGAGAGAACGCACTTAGCACATAACTCACGGTAGAAATATTTTATACTTCATCGGATCTGCACAAACTAGATATCCAGTGGCGACTCGTCATTAGGCACAGCCCCACCTAGTGTCAGCAGAAAGTAATGCAAATAATAATTCCCAAAATATGCAAAAAATATATGTTCAAATATATTTTAAGATCATGTTTAGTCATCTAATTTGTCTGTACATTGCTGTTTTAGTCTGCGTTCTTCTAATTAGTGTCTACAGTGTGCCTATTGAGCCGTGTAGAGCGATGTGGGGCAAGCCCTTCTCTCTGCTGTTAAAATTAACGGGTGCTGTAAAAACTACACTGCGCATGCTCAGTCTTTTTCTATTCAATGTGTGCGGCTAAAGAATAACCACCATAGGGGCACTGTGCTGACATACCCACCAAACCACATCTCATAATTCAGAGAGCTGATTGGCTGTAAGTATGTGTGCCGCGAAAAGTTTAAATGTGAAGAGGAGACGAGAGAGAGCAGCTTATAGCGATTCAAATCAGTAAAACGGATAGAAAATGAATGAAGTTGACCATCTACTTCAGCTTTGATAAGTTCATTTGATGTCATATATTTTCATGATCTTCTGTGTTTTGCCTATAGGCTATTGCTCTGCTGGATCGATTGATATTGTGACCTCATGAGTGTCTTGTGTTTTCCTTATAGCCCCCCCCCCCCCCCCCCTCTCTCTATCGGAACCATGGATTGCCTACAGCTATTTGTTTACGTGTTTTAAAAAGGCACCAGAAGCTTATACACATCTAAGTTGTTCGTGCCCCACAACTTTTGTACATATAAAAACGCTACTGTAGATATTGTATGAAAGCTGAGATTCCAGATTCCAATAGTATAAGTATCATTACTGTACGACCAAAACCCACGGCGGTGAAAGCAAGCAAAGACAACACACAACTTAGTTTTACGGGGCTAAAACGGCAAATACTTCTTACCGTTGCTGTTTTCTGATCAAAAGTTGTGTTTAATGGCATTAAATGGCTTAAAAACGCTTCTGAAGGTTAATCCAATGCCTCTGTGTCACTTTGAAATGATTACTGATAATCCATCATCATATTTATGTCAATAAACTGAGTTTTCATGTAGAGTGTATGAGAGCTGTAACCCAGCTTCCAGTTTTGGGCGTGCTGGCTGCGCATCACTCTCATTCACCAATAGTAATGTTTGGATGGATTTAGGATTCTATTGGCTCTAACGGTTCAAAAGTGGTGTCAATCATCAAAATCGACCGATGGGTTCCAGAGATATGGCAAATACACCCAAATGACCCCAGAGGTGGGTATCTTTTTTGCTAAACCTCTCTAAAAAGGTCAAATTTAACTTGTTTTGCATCAATCTTGATACAGGGTACTTATTATATGTTATAGTTTGGATTCTTAAAGCTTTTTGTCTACTATCCCATCATTCAAGGCTGGTTTTCACTATAATTTTTTACTATCTTCAATCTGAATTTACTTTAAAAATAAAAACATCTATATTGATTCTGACTTTTCTACATCCAACTCACAGGTGTAACCTTGTTTTGAGAAAAAGGATTATTAATGTACCCCTTTTAGAAGTGAAGATATAGTCATTTGTTCTGAGAATGTCATTTTCGAGCCTGACACCGGAAAAGCAGGCTCAGGGTTTAACAGGTTAAGACCGTTTTAGACCATGAATTTACGGCATACTTTCTCAAACCTCTTTAAACTAAATAAATTGTTGTCTCCAAAGGACATACTGAAACGCTAATTAAAGAGTCACAGGACATAAAATATAGTGGAGGAAATGTCTATAGCTGTGTGGTTATTTTGGTGCAAACAGAAAATGAGGTGTCCCTGCCAGAAGATAATCCAGCTAGGAAATTGCATTTGTAACAACACAGATAAGACACACATGTAGAAGCAAACATGTTGTTGAATGTGTTGGACATTACCTAATGACTGCAAGAGGAATGGCATCCAGTGCCAACCGTGGCATCAGAGTAAAGCTGGGCACCTGAGGAGGAATGAACCCTGTGGGGATGTGACCGGAAACACTGGAGTCATATTTGCTGTTCAGATCCCCAAAATGACTAGCCAGCGTAGCTCCTGCCACTATAATCAGCTCAGTCGGGAAAGGGATCTTCAGGCGATCCTTGTAGCGCTCCTGGATCTCCTTTCCTGCCACTAAAATAAAAAATGAGTCATTCTTTGTTAAAGAAAATTAAGAATGAGCTTTTTAGGCTTTTAAAAATGTCCCCAGGTATTGGAGTATCATTACAGCCCACGAGGCAGTTTATAACTAAGAATCTGATGGGAAATGTATCAAATATACCTAATATAGAGATACAGATTGCACTAGTGATGAGGTCACACAGGTTGGTGTTATGAATGTTGGCAAAGATGTTGAACCAGGTGACGACAACTGTGCCGTAGCCTTGGTGACGGGGGATCTTTATGCCCAACAGGTATTTAGCCTGTACGGTGAGGATGGTGAAAGAGGCTCCTGTAGCAAAACCATCAAGCATGGGTGACGAAAGGTAAACGGAGACGAAGCCTAGCCGAAACACGGCCATAAGGAGCTGGTGAGGAGATTAGAAAAAGAAGAGGAGAGGAAGAAGAAAAAAGAGGGAGATAATGATGAAAGGATGGATTTGCGAACATTGTAAAGACAAAAAGAGAAACCATCCATCCATTCCATAGATTTACAAGAAGTCAATAATTGCTCCTGCATCCATTACCTGATAGACGCCAACCATGAATGTTAGGGCAGCAGCGATGGAGATGGAGTAACACTCCTTCCCACACTGCACACCCATTAGCTCCACACTGTGAGGTGAACCAATTGTCAGATTAGAGCCGAGGGAGGCATTTAACACCAGGCCAGAAGCTTTGGAGTCTTCATTGAGGTCAAATCCAGCCAGGAACATCTCCTTATTTACCACCTTCAGGCAAGAAATGAAACGGACATTTGTTAATAAAACTCTTAATTAAACCTTCCTCAGTAGCATTATGTGATCAATGATTTCTCAAGGGACCTCTTCCCATTGACAGGTATTGGAAGTGCCAATTCATTTAGATTTGCTCTTTCTTGGCCCATTCAACATCGATCCACCAAAATTCATGAAAATTAGAAATCAAGATTTAGCCGTAACCGTCTTGATACAATCAGATAAAGTGAACCAAAGACCTTGGTGGTTAAGAAATAGAAAAAATATTAAACACCATTCCATTAAAGACCTAAATTGTGTGATCCATTACCTGTCCAACCATGAGGCTCATGAGGCTGAAGATCCCCACAGAGACATGTCTGGATGTCCCCATGAGGAAGTAGATGATGTTGGCGTAAAAAGAGGTGTATAAACCATAGATGGGCGGCACTCCTGCCAGCAGGCAGTAGGCGATGGCCTGTGGTACCAAGATGATTCCAACGATGACCCCGGACATAAAATCGCCCAAGACGTACTCTTTGAGCTTGTATTTAGGCAGCCAGCGAACAACAGGGAAGAATCCGGTGAGGGTGGATCGAACTTTTGGTACGGAGCAGGTCACACCATGCTTCAGCTTGGATTTGAGGACTGAAACTGTGGTCTGTCGCTGGCGAACCCGACGTTCCAGGACGGGTGGCGGGACCTTGGTGACCTCCTCCATGGTCTTGGGTGGGAAGAAGGGGCAGAAGCCGAAAAGGAAGGGAATTGGATAATGGGGTCAGCTGTGCTCCTGCACGATCTAGGAAAAAGAAGGGAGGAAGATATGCAGGACAGACAGGGAAAAGGAAACAGTGATTATCAGTGGAGATTACTTCAGTTAATAGATATAATACTTTGTCTTCCTGTTAGGTCACTTTCACAATATAGTTGAATACGGAGGCATCTAGACATTAACTTTACCCTGTAGGGGCAGTGCTACTTGCATATTTTTTGTTGGTTCATTATCTTTTAAACTTCTCTATCAGCCCTTTGAGTGAATGTTCAATCTGGATTACTGATTAAGTGTTTAATGGGAAAGTCTGTCATGTTCCAAACCCTATGGATAACTAAAACTATTTCCAAAGACACCTGTCCTGTTAAACATCAATACAAAGTTACAGAAAACATTTCATGACGATACAGCACATTTCATGGTAAGGGTAACGGTTTTACAGTGGACCATTACAGTTTTAATGACCTCCCTTTCCCAGAGCCCAGGTTAGTCAGTAACTGAGACATCCAATGAGACAATCATAGGAAAGAATGTATCTCAGTCATCAACACTGCAAGTATATGATTAGATTAGAGATTAGATAGAACTTCATTAATCCCGAAGGAAATTCTTTTTGCCAGGTTGCTCCAAAATTACAATACAGTTAATACTATACATCTTAATAAAAGTATGCAATATACAATATACAAAGTTTATACAAAGTTTTAGAGTAACGTATTACAGTGCCCCAGTAGAAAATAGGTAGGAGCCTGTGACAGTGACAAGTCATATTGCACTTTCAAGTAAAATACTACATTTCAACTAAAAACGTACTGAATAAAATTAGGTAAACAAGTAGTGTTGGTATTCTGTCTGCTTTAATCCATACCTGAACTGCTATATGTTTTTACTTTTCACTATGCTGATACCAGCACAGCACTCCACAATCGTTATCAATACTTTTAATCTTGTGTCTGATATGGTTAGTAAGGTTAAGCAAGGACTATTACACTATGTCAGAGCGATGGTAAAATTGAGAAAATATATGTATAGAAAGCAAGAGAGCCCTGACCACTGTCAACTTTGGGATCAATTTGGGTGATCCTTATTAAATACAAATCTCCATTGCCCTAAAATGTGGTACAGACATTAATGGTCCCTAGAGGATGAATTCTACTGACGTTGGTGCCGAGTGGATGAATCCTAATTACTTTGAATATCCCCTGACATTTCCTGTAATGCCACCAGCAGGTCAAAGTTTACACCTTAACCAAAGAATAATCCAAACTTCTACAGGATTGGCTCACATTTTCTACAAACAACATAACTGACATGTGCAACTCAAATCTCTCAAGTGTATAATGGGTTCCAATCCGAAAAACTAGCAAATGTTGTCAGCAATTGCAAATAAGTATGTGACATTTTAGTGGTGCAGAAAGTAAGGAATTTCCGGGCACAGCTTGTCGCTTAGTCTTGTTATTTTGAAACTGCAGGAGGCCACTGTGCTCTGCTATTAACTATTTACATGTACAAGAGTCAGTGGGCTGCAAAGAGATCTTAAGATCTTACATCAATAAATGTTGACAGCTATGTAGCTTTATCCTATGTAAGATCTTAAAGAACTGTTTATTTCTTACCAATTTCTTTCTTTTCTGTTCATGATAGCTTTAGATAGATAGATTTAAAGCAGTAATGTATTCTACACTTGTAACAGAGTTTAACTGTTAGGTGAAGTCCTGTTTCAGCAAGTTTCTACAGATAATTATACCATGAAACTGGTAAAATGATTTAAAAACCCACAACTGACACTGCCTATGCAACTTACACTTCATCCAATGAAAGCAAATGTTCAACATGTGTATGGCACTCGTGTATAGGTATAATGCCAGTGGGTGATGGATTATAGGAGGCCTGTCTCACAAGGTTAGCTGTTTCAGTAGCAGCTGCGCCTCGGGAAAGATTACCATGTCACAGAAACCATGAAGCTTTCTAAATGATGGGCTCTCAGCCTCAGTCATCGCAACACTGGTATGTGCCGCGACTTCCTGTGGCACGGCTCACTCAGACTGATATGTCAGTGGGATAAAGAATAGAAGAACGTCTTTTTCATGGGTGCCTACATCAGATATGTTGCAGTTAAATTCACCAGATGTAAGAACCATCTTGCTGTTTTCTGTCTATTCTTGTTTTTTTACTCACTCTTTCTAGGTAGTTATTTTTTTTTAAGGACAATGATTGTTTACTTTGCATGGAAATCAAACTCAAATAAAAAATAAAGAGGCCAGCTCGTTTTAATGTTGGTCTCATAAATCCATACTGACATTTTAAAAGATAAAAGGTACGGGAGATAAATGATGAGCCTGTGTAGCTCTTAGGTACACATAAAGTAAAAGAACATAACAAAAAAAGACCAAAAAGATCTCCAACAAGGTTTCTTTTAAGAAGAGAAACACACATGCCTGATTAACTGCTGAGCATCACGGGAGTCACACTGAGGACCTTTTGATACCAAATTTACTTCAGCGTCAACCCTAAACTGTGCTGTAAAGATACTATTCAAACGGTTTCTGTGAACTGTTTCTAATCAATGTTTGGCGCCTTTAATCATGTGATAAAAGCCCCCCAACACTGCTTGTAAATGACCTGAAAGCTTCCTCCCTGTGCCTTTCATGTATAGTTAAAATCTTTTGAATCAAGGCATGTTAGAAGTCCAAAGGGGCGAAATAAACTGCGTATCAACTTGCTGTAAAGGAAAGCATACACATGATTCCTCAAATTAACACATTTTATAAATTTACAACCGTACAACAGTATTGGCATGCATTTGTATTTATTATTGCCATGTTCAGACAACAAAAATCTAAGAGTACTATTGTGTAAAATATCATGTATTTTAAAAACCTTGAACGTCATTCTGAGCCTTAGTAGCTGAGTCTTCAAAAAGTGCTAAACTACTGAAGCCAGGAGGACTATTGTCCCTAGTTTTGTGAATTGTGAAACACAACAATAAAGATACAATATGATGTAACCATGGAAGCCGGTAGTTCCTATTCAACTTCAAAAGGATCAACAAGAGCCTTATACTCAGCCGATGTCAAACAGTGCTCTGACGGATGTTGATTTAGAGAACAGGTTTGGAGAAATGCAAATTATAATTCAAGTTTAACTGAGTTTGTGAAGCTAGCAGCTTTTAATAGGTTTACACATCTAAAAGTAGTTAATGCAATACTTGGATAATTAAGGATTGTAGATATGCTCAAAATACTACATGGAAGAATGTTAATAGCACTGCTGGCTAAAAAGGATCTAAACTACCTACTAAACCATGTGCATCCTCTATGCGCTGTAGACATAATTTCACCGGCAGATCAATACAAATGTGCTCAAAAGAACAAAATAATCTCCAATTAAACCCAAATCATATTTTAAGATTTTCACCAGGAGGAATAAATACTAGCTTTGTCATTTCTTGGACACACATTATCAGTCAGTATAAGACACTCACCTGTAGAGCCACTGCCACTGAGATAAACCTTAAATCTCAGATGTGTTTAAATCAGCTCTGTGTTGATTGCCTCAACTTCTTCCTAATATATCTGCCTCTCCTCCTCTCTTAATATGTCTCTGATGTCAGACAGCAGTAGTTGTGAGGGTTATCTCTGCTGGATAAATGGAGAGATAAGAGCAGCCCTTTGCTCACCCTCACTCTGGCCCCCTATTGGCTTGGTCACCAACAGTGGGTTGGGCTTGTCCACTCTTGAACCAATAGAAAGCATGTGTGTGTTTGTCTAGAGGCCGGGTTAGATGTTTAATCCAGTCAATTTTTTACTCGATCATTGCTTTACGTGCCCCTGCAGTAAACCTGGGCAAAAAGGCATAGTCAAAGTGAAAATGAGTTTAGTTTGTTATACTGTTTAAATACATTCTGTGGAGTTGATTACACAGCAAACAACAGAAGATAAACTGTGCCTGAGGTGAACTAACCAAAGAAGTGCCCCTGTTATCTGTGTGAACTGTGCCAGAAACAACCAAATACACACAGATTGGGCATTAGTGTGTTAAACAATGTGACTACCAATGATTTGTACCTGCCAGGTTGAATCAAAACACTGTCATTGAATTATTCTGAACTACATGTAACGCTTTAGCTGTGCACCAATACAAATATGATTTAGTATCTGGTCTTTTCAAAAGATAAAATGTACTGTAATTAATAAAACGTAAAAAACACCTAATGTTTAATCATTTAGAAAGTTGTTTGATATTCTCACTATCAACCAACGAGGGCTAAGCGTAAAATCCCTTTGGTTATTGAGCTAAATATCGCGTCTTTGAAACACATTTAATTCCAGTTTATGATTAAACATACTATAATATTCCTGTTATACTTGTTTAGCTTCATTGTTTATTTTCTGTGGAAGTAGTTTGAGAGTTACTCAAAACCAGAGTTACATTTCTTTAGTTTGCAGCTTACACAATGATGGGGGGTATATGGTTAATCCTTAATGCTGTAAATGTATCTATTGTCTCTATAATCAGAACTACATCCACTGTCACTGAGACAAATGTGAGTCTGTGTGTGAGAGTGCAAGTGTGTGAGTGTGTCTATTATATTCTGGACTCAATGGCATCATTGTCAGCGTGAACACATGGTAGACTTCTTCTTACACAGTTAGTCACGGTTAAGATTTGAATTACATATGCAACAGTACAGAAATATCACCAGAGAGAGGGGCTGCTTTTTGGTGTGTGGTGTTTCCATGACCATATCCATGCACAGCAAGACTGGAATATTACTTCCAACATACAAAACGGGGACAAAACCAAACAACCGGATCATGTTAGGAGTTTCCGCACGTCTTGTCACCTTAGTTGACCCCTCACAGTTTGAGGGGATTACTGCACTGCCTCTTTAAATCAACCGGCAGCATCACCTGTCTGCATGCTAGCTTTACATGCTTTATCCCCAGTCTAGCTGGATTTGTGGAGCTTTTATATTTGATTTTCTGGTCAATAAAGACTCACCCAGAGAGGGGCAGAGGAGCAAACAGGGGGCAACATCAGCCATCCCTCCCTGAGTGGTGCCTCTGCCTCCACCATCAGTCTGTTTTCCTCTACACCGCCGTGCACTCTACTGCTCACTGTCTGCTTCCTGTTTCCTTTCGCAAAGCATGATGGGAGCAGCAAACCCCCCGTCTCAGCCGAGCAGAGGGGGAGGGGAGGGAGGAGAATAGATGGAGGGAGGGAAGAGGGGTGGTTACCATGGTGACTAAACTGCTGTGTGTGTGTGTGTATTTGGATTCCCAATGCCTTAGTTGATGGTACCTTTAAAATGTCTTAAGAATACAATTTCTGCTATGCATTTATATTGTTATGCACCATATCAGCAGGATAACCAGAGTCATATGACACTTTACTATCTCAAATTCTTTAAAGAGTTATTCTGGTGATAGTCTTTATCATTATAATGATCAAGAAATATCATGAAATTACAATAATATTGAGCTCCATGACGGGGTGAACATAGTTTGTAGTCACGCTCGTAGCTGAATGAACCACCATTCTTTAAGGTGTAGTGTTTAAATACAAGAGCAAGCATCAGAAAATAATTCCCTCGATTCACCGAAAACAGGAAGTGTCGTAACTTTTGGTGGCCATGGTTTTAGTATCAGCATCGTTTGCAAGCTGCTTTTCAAGGTGGCATTTTTTCAATTTTTTTGTAAGCTTCTTCCTGTTTTTAACTGGTGATTATTACTGGCTTGGTTTATACAACAATTCACCATTAAATTAACAATTTTCTAGACTAAAGGGTGTGTTTTATCATAGATACAGTACAATCTAATCTTCAACTAGTTATGGTCTGTATGAAAATATTAAATGTCTATCTTAATGATCAATCAAATGTTTGTGCAGGTAAAGTCGCACAGAACTTACATGTGTACAAATCATCAGTTATCAATATTGCCTCGCTGTTGGAGGGTTGGATTACTACTTCCTGCTGAATATTTTGGGTTGGCACTATGGTGAACCCTCTATGCAAACGTGCAGTCATTGCATTAGGCCACAGTTAGTGAGTCGAGTGGAGCATTTAACACCTAAAGAGAAAGACATTTCCCTGGATTTGGCATCGAAAATTAGCTACACAGAGAATTAATGGGATTTCAATTAACCAGTGATGAGATTTAAATGAATACAATTGTGTTAACCAATTCATATAGATATTGCATTATCTATCTGTGGAAGTATCAGGTGTGAAACCTTTAAAGGTGAATTTGGCCGACCTTCTCCGAACACAGATAGGACGTTACTTCCTGATAACCCTGTGACAATAACACCACTTAACCTTCTCTTCTACCCAACACATTCCCATGGTTTACAAGGAAACAGCAAACACTGAACACAATAGTTTATTTATTTCACTTATTATTAACCGCTTTGGTTACGTCTCTGTCAAGGACAGTACATGTTTTGGGAAGATTAGTTGTAACACAAGAAAAGTCACGCACACAAACCTGTTGTTGCTTATTTAAATTTCCTCTTTGAAAGTTAAGGAGAGAGTTTGGCAAAAAAAAGGTATCTCGTTGCAAAATGTTTTTATCACCCTCCGATTTACAATCCGTTTAACATTTAGAACATGGTTTGAAATAAGTTTGAATTTAGTGATGAGTACCCAAAGGTTGTGCAGTGTTCCGCGAAGAGGAGCAGTGATTACACAACTTCTTTCCGACTCAAAGTAATGTTTAAGTTCAAACGTAACTGAAAACCAGCTAAATATTAACCTCTGAGCCAACACAAGGTTTTTTAGTTTCTAATTATTATATATTTGTTTTAATTTTGATATACTTTATTAATCCCTGTGGGGAAATTGTTTCTCTGCATTTGACCCATCCTAGTGTTAGGAGCAGTGTGTTGCCATTTTGAACGGCACCCGGGGAAATATATCAAGACTTATTTACACTGGTTAATTTCCAAACATTTGTTCTACCTATGTTGCAAATGTATTATCTCTTCAATTTACACACGGCATCTATTGCACGTCTGTCCGTCCTGGGAGAGGGATCCCTCCTCTGTTGCTCTCCCTGAGGTTTCTCCCATGTTCCCTTTAAACTGTGGGTTTTCTCCGGAAGTTTTTCCTTGTACGATGTGAGGGTCTAAGGACAGAGGGTGTCGTATTGTCATACTGATATTCTGTACAAACTGTGAAGACCACTGAGACAAATGTAACATTTGTGATATTGGGCTATATAAATAAACATTGATTGATTGATGACTTATTTGTCTTTCTTTTTTTCCGCTATTGCAGCTTGACGAGCAGCAGCAGCTGTTTCCATTTCTGCTCAGCTGCATTGATTGCTCATTGATTGCACCTGTGTCAAGTACATTTAAGTAGACCTGAAACTAGCTGAGGACTGAACCAATCAGAATCGGTTTTATAACCAAGTAGGTTTACACCTTTATATATACAGTCTATTTTTACACATAGGAGGAATTTGCTCTATACAGTATGGTGCATACAAAGACACAGAAAGAAGAATACTTGGCAAAATGAAATGAAATAAAAATATGACAGCTATTTAAAACAACTATTTTATGATTATTATAACAAATTAACAATATATATATACAAAATATAATTAGGTGAGAAACTGAGTACAATCAAATATAATAAAATATGACAGACATATAGTAAAATATGACAAATACTACAAGGTTTGCCATTGACAAATAGGGGCAATTTAAATGCATTACTTTGCACATTTTAAAAACATTTGACATTTACTTTTCAGCAAAAAAAACAGCAATAAAACAAAAAAGCATACAAATAAATGTTATGTAGTAGCACAGTGTGTCACACAATTCTAACACTTCTATAGTTGTTAATTAGGCCTTTCACACAGCAGACAGCGTGTTTGGTCAAATTGTAAGACAAGCCCAGACACTGATAACACTAACGACTGCTTTGTTCTTCTCTCGAGTCCCAGTGATCCATGACTGTGACAGTGAGCCACACACGGTGCTCCTAAACTAAAGCAGCTACATGGTATGTTTACACCTCTTCTTTTCCTATTAGACATGTCATCTGAATACTGTGACAAAAGCCTGAAAGAGGAGTGTAGAGCAAACGGTAATTTTAGTTGCTAGTGTTCTTGCTACATCTAGTGGTAGTGAGGAGACAAGCAGGTAGGATTGTAGAGTTGAGCATTACACACACACTTGGAGAAGCAATCTGTTTTTCAGGAGAAACACCTTCCTTAGCTTTTTATATGGGAACCATCCTGAACCTGGCCTGATTAGGGTTTGTTAAGGCTGGCTTCTTACCTTCAACTGAAAGGACATTAGAAATAATTGACCTTGGAGACTCTCTTTAATGGATTAAAGACTGTATTTAGGAAAAACTAACATGCAGCTGCCCATAGAAGGATGAAATATTGGCCATGTGTCTCATGCGGTTAAAAATGAATTTCTGTTCCTGTGTTAACATCCAAATAATCTCAGAGCCAGGACGTTTTTAGAAAGCCCAGGTCAAGCACTAGAACTTCTGCACTACGAGATCTTTATGCTTTTAGACAGTAAACCCAGGGAGATTGTGTTGGATTCAGTGATTACAGAATAATGAATTCCTCCTGTGGATTCTCCCTGGGCTTAATGGGCAGCAGACTCAGGCGTCAGCACCAATCAATCCGGAAAATCAGCTCGGAGATTGTTTTTGAGCGGCGTAGAGATGATTGGGGATAATCGCGTTTGCTGCAACTAAATAGGCTTCCTGACGAGGTGCTTTGTTTGTAATGGCCGCCAACAGTAATACAGGCTTGTTAAAAACACGCAGAATATATTAGTTTTTGCTTGATGCTCATGTTATCTTATTAAATACAGAGCTCAAGCTATGATGTGTTAATTGTCAACAACAGTGTGAAAAGACCAAAATAGTTATCTAACTGCCTACATTTGGGAAAGTGTATTAGGTTCAGTTGACGAGACATGGCTATTCATTCATCAAGTCTGACTGGTGCTAGGCAGTGGTTCTAAAAATAGAGATTTGGCCCCTCCAAAATAAATTATGTCGGTCATGATTTTTTTTCCATATTTATATGTGTATTTGTTTTAAGTAAATAAAGATGTTACACTTGAAGAGCGATGCTGTTCTCCGAAAGGTTGCTTTCAAAAAAATGTGGGTCACTTTAAACACCATGAAATTCCAGAATGCTGTCGAGCTCTGCTGTTTACGGGTAAAATACAACTGATATCTACTATACTTTTGTTTGTGTGTGTGTGAATGTTGCTGCTGGATGTGTAATTAGGCAACGTTTTGCGAGCAGATTCGTCTTTGTGAGATAACAATATGATAATATAGTGTACAGTTCAATGAGAAATACATATACCACAGACTCAAGTGTTGAAATCTGGAGAAATTAGCATAAGCCACATTTTATAGACCCAACATGAATCAATTAACACCAAATTATTGTCAAATTCCCTGTTTATTCATCATCTCCATTGCATGGAACAAAGATGAAGTACAGGGCACAGTGGACTATTAAAAGTTGTCACATTGTAACAAGACACCGTTCACATCAACATATCTGAAGCCTGGAGGTTGTGCATTAAAAATAAAAAGGAAAGATTGTGAGTTTACTGTTGTTTTCTGAGGCAGAGATGCATTGAGAAATTGAAATTAAAATGTGAGAGTGTAGGCTGCTGCAGTATCACACCTCTGTGTGTCGATCGCATGAACGTGTTGTGATAGACAGCCAGAGGGAGACAGACCGGTACAGATATGTAAACTGAGCTTCAAACATCAGAGGGAAGCTGTGTTATAAAGGCCTTTTGAAATACCTCTGAGTAAGTTTAACAGGTCACCAGTGCTGCCAAAACTAAAAGAGTATCTCCCAACACTGCAGGTCTAAGTATCTTTGTCTATAAATCTGTACATAATTAGATGAACTTTGTCTGTATTTAGTGCTTTTGGACACTTTTTATTCATTGTTTTTGTTTTTGTCCTTACCTTGGACAAAACGGGGCCAGATCAGAGCTCAGGAGAGTGAATATTGACCCCTAGTGGTCAAATACAACTTAATTTAAAACCCAGTTAGCGCTAGAGTCTTTACTCCATTGACATCAGTCTTTTATATTCACCTTGGCTTGAGCCAGATTCAGCAACTTTTCAAAATGAAATGTCCACAATTGTTTTAATGTTCAGTTGCATTTCTTGTATGTTTTTTCAGTGCTGTAATACCATGTCTTAATAATTTAATAACTTAACAAACTTGTCAATTTAGCTTCATGCAGGAGGAGTGATTTAATACTGGCAACCAAGATTTCCAACCCGCTGCAGTGATGTAACAAACCAACATGTGACTGATCTCGGACAGAGATGCAACACATTTAAGACTTTCAACCTACAGAGGAAAGTGCAACAATAATTTAAATGCCTTGAAATGATCAGATCAGTGTTTTGCCACAAGGGTCAACAATGATACAACCATTTTGATACATGCTTTATTTCATCACAAACTACTGGGACGTCATTGATTCTCTGCTACTTCAGCATGGGATATGAAACGAAGAATATAAATAAAAACTTTGGACATTACATTCAGCAGTTTCAGAGTGCCGTCGGTGCTGGTACAATACAAGAATACAAACTGCTGCACAATACAATGTAATCTAAAGACACCTGTATGAGCATTATCATAGAGGTTAAAAAGCAGTTGTGTTAGCCAGAGCTTTGCTTGTAGTCTGCTGCAGTTTTTCTGGACCGTTGCCCTCATGTTTCCAATCGCAGAATTTCAACAGTTCTTTTAGGTTTTAGATAGAGGACCGGGGAATATATTGGCAGTGTGTTTTGTTCCATGGACACATTTACTCTTCAACTGTCCCTGTTCTGGCACCGAAATGCTCCAATATTTCACCAAAAGTCAGATCTGCACTTTTCTGATGACCAGTAATAGCGCCTCTAGTCCCGGACAGCATCAACATGTTTTAAAAAAAAGTCATAATATGAGGATGCTGATCCTAGAGTTCATATCCATGTGAGACCACCTCCTTATAAACAGGTCGGTTTTTACTCATAGAGTCCCAACAGAGTCCTGGGACTGCTCGTTGGCCAGTATCGTTCGCCCATTGTCACTGTAGCTCCGGTTTGGCAGAAAGGACAATCTGAAAAAGAGACAGAGACTTTTTAAATAATATTGATTAAAAAGGTCTGATTGATATAGAAAAAGGGGTTAAGTTTAAGCCAGAGACTGTTGAATCATAGCTGTGCTGGTAGAAATAAGCCAGTGGGAATGGAAGAGAAAGGAGGCATGGGAAATTAGTAGAGCGGGAACTTCTGTTGGCATTCTTCTCAAAGTGGGCAGTCCTTGCGGAGGAAGGAGGAAGAAGAGGAAGAGGAGGGAGACAGAAAAAAAGGCTGTTTCTAAAACACAAAGAGGACAATAATGATAAAAAATTGGCAAAAGGACATTATCACATTTCAATGTTGCACCTTGCCTCCCAAGGCGTCGTCATCACACCTACAGCAGAAAGATTTGGAGAGTGGTTATACCTATTACTTTAATCCAATCGACTAAATCCCAGTACAAATAGAAACCCTTAACTTACCTGAAGGGGCAAAAAGTCCCTTATGAAGTAGGAGCATAATCTGTTCTTAACACAGAAGGACCTCATAAGCAGTGTATTACTAGCAGACACACACAGACAGACCTGAACGGAAGTCTGGGTATATTCCATCCGGTAAATTCCAAAGATTAGTTCTTATCAGACAATTTGAGAGACACACACACACACACACACACACACACACACACACACACACACACACACACACACACACACACACACACACACACACACACACACACACACACACACACACACACACACACACACACACACACACACACACACACACACACACTATTCTGTAGAGTGGGTGTGTTTACAGTCTAAACTAAAGGATGCCTGTCTGTCAGTCTGATTCCACACATTTCATAATAATATAAACTCACTTTGCCCAATAGCATGCCCTGTTGAGACAGTCCTTAATTTCAGCTCTTTAGTTTCCTGTCAAGACCCGCACAGTATAAAGGTTTATCAGTGACAACAAGGTCAGAAGACTACCGCTCGTTCTTTATTTTACATGTATCTAGAAAATAACAGATGAAACGTTTTTAAGGATGAACAGTCAGTACGCTTTGAGGTTTTACATTTCGGGTCATTACCATCATTCTGCAGATTTGTATCCAGAGATCCTGACACTACTCTAGGCGATGAATTTAAGTCAACAACAAACGTCTGACAGCAACATCTGTCCTTACTGCCCTAAGGATAATTATATGTTTATGAGTTTGTCACATTGCATTGAAGTCATCCACAAATGTACCCTCCTGCTAAATACACTGTTGCCCATAATGTTGGAATAAATATATTTGACCTCTCCTCATGAAATGATTGTGTCAATGTGATTTATTATTGATAGATAAAGGTTATATCTTCTCAAAACTATTGATCAATCTCTTCCAAACATCACAGTGAAAAGTAAACCACAGTTAAAAGAGGAATGTGTCAAAATGATTCCAACTTTATGGGAAACATAATAATAATAATAATAATTCACCATCAATTAATTGTTTCATTACAGGACAGGAGACTTGACTGGACTTCAGAGGACATTAACACTTAAACAAGTTCAGGTTTAACATTGGAGTCCCAAACACTGCACATATCTTCCCTCTGACGTTCATGCCAGCAGACTTTAACCACAGGCAGTGTGGCATTTAAAAACTAAAAGGCTTTTTGTCCTGCATTACAGGACATTCCCAGAGTAAATAATATGAGGGAAAAGAGCATAGGAATGTTCCCACATGTTGAATCATCAATCTTATAACATCAATTTCATGAAGAAACCACAGATGTTTTGTCCAGAGATATTTCAGTGGTTATTCCCACCAGAGCTTTCCCTCATGTGTCTCCTCTAATCCATCTGTCCAGATTTAGTGGAAAGAGATTACAGAGATTTCTCTTGCAATACATGTGAACTTGGTCATTTTCCATCATTATCTTTAGTTTGAGGGCAGTTAAACGTTTTGTGAGGCTGCCGTCAATTATGATACAAATAAAATCTTGCAGGAAAAGCCTCCTGCCTCATCAGAAGGAGAGAAAGGAGAAACAACTTGTGAATTATGTGAACTTCTCTCATGGGAATCTTCAAATCTGTTTCTGTTTCTATTCTGACACGATAAGTACCATGGACAATGGAAGTAGAGACACATTAAACCCCATTTTTGGTGATTTGTTTCCAGAAATAGCCATTTATTGCCATTATGTAATGATCTCTACTGTTTTCAAAGATTTATTTTTCTTTTTATTGCAGAATTGAAACGGGGAGACAGAGGGAATGACATGCGGCACATAGTCCCTAGCTGGATTGTGTACCAAGCCCCAGTAAGAGGGCCTTTATCTCTACCAATTGAGCTATATGGCACATTTATTGTGTTGGAGTCTGCCACTTACACACTGGGATCAAGTTAACAACAGAATATAACCCCCATCAAACTGACGTTGCCAGCAGTACCTTTGTTTTCATAAATTACAGTTTTTGGTGTACGCTCTTCATTGTGTTTTTCTAGTGTTTTTAGATATGCATAAAAGTTCATATTAAGTATTAAATACTATCAACTTTTTAGAGCTTATATCTATTTTTTGGTGAATCAGTCGCAATGAATGCAATGTATCATCTAACACTGCCTTGACTGAGACCGTTTACAAAATATTTGTTCACAAAACATACGGCATCAGGTGTTGGTTAGTGGCTGGATCAACACAAGTCTTCTGTACTTTATCTGCCATTAACTTTTAAACACTGACGTCTTCAATCCACAAGCTTAAGGTCTCTCACTATAACCCTGTTTGGGTCGTTGAGAAGCAGCGCTCAGAAAAATAATCTGTGAGTTTGATCTGTGGCTGACTTCCAGTCTGACAAATTGAATAAGCAGATCCAAACACACATCAAAAACGACACGCTTAGGGAAACAATCATGAGAAAGGAGGACATTTGGACTGCTAGATCAGATTTAAATTGATTTTTTTGTTCTTTTGAGAGAGAAAAAGGGGGATTTAACTGACAGGAGGAATTCTGGATGAGTTTTTTGAAACTGTGTTTATTGCGCTTTTGTAAGTTTACACCTGTGTGTATTTCCTCTTCTTCTGGCTGTGTGTTGTCAATAGTCTTCTGTGTAATGTTTTAAAAATGTAAATACACTGCCTTTTGCTATCATAAACGGATAATTCAGAAACATACAAATAATAACTCAATTTTAAGGTAGACACTTCAATCTCGGTTGATCCACTTTATTTTTTAATGAGAACCATTTCTTTTTTTTGTGTCAGAGCTGCAGACTCAGTTTCTGTCTCTGTTTACGTTTCATGTTATGAGTGTATTTAAATGCAGAAGCTAATTATGCCTAGAAATAAGCACTTTCATCTAATTAATCAATAAGACTATAATTACAGTATTCAGGTACACTCTGGTTGTTGCTGTCCAAACTCATAACAAGTCCTGCCTTTTACATTTTCACTTTCTACACCATTTGTGCTGTACTGCCTTTATTTATCCTTTCATCTGATCTGTTACAGTACGTGACGTTAAGGTGGATCAACACAAGATACAGGAGAGGCTTGTGGTCCTTTAATTTAGCGCTAATTTCATTCAGGGACAAATCAGATTTCTCTCTTATCTCCTCGCGTTGGGAGCTAAAGTAGCGAGGAGGGATCGCCGATGGGGGAAATTGATAGGACGTGTTTTCCCACAGGAACGCTGAGGATATCACTGGAGGAGAAACTTCTGCTCTTTCTAAGAAAGGCTCATTTTACACCTAACAAGGCGTACTACAGGTTTCACATGTTTCAGCTCATTGATTAAAAACCGTGTACACCAAACATAATCGCTTTTCTACAGCAAAAAGGAATACTGTACTTGGGGAACTTTTATCTAAACACATGAGGTAAAACACATAAACTGTCATACTTGAATTAATGCAGGAATATCGCATTTATTATGCATTTGTCAATTTAGGTGCGTAATGGCATCTACACTGCATGTGTTTGTACATTTCTCCTAAATTCAGCAAAGTGAGCATTAGATAAAGACTCTTTTGCATATGTAAATATTTATTTTTTGAAAAATTGTTATACAAAAAGGATTCAACCTTTATGATAATACAGTAATACACTTGGGTCATTTCCCCCTGTAGTGTCTGCAGAATGTATGCCATTTTAATGTATGTTTTTTTTTACTCACACCCTGAGCCTGACAACTCAAATTCACTAGTACCTAGAAACTAAACGTACAAGTTAGTTCATAAATCACTCAAGGTCTGATTTACATGTTTGGAATATTTGATTCATAAAATGTTTTGTATATGTTTATTTGTTGAAGTTCTTTTCAGATAAATGGATTTAACAAAAATAAAGATTTGACTCAAACTTGTTAACCTTGCTTTAACCAATGCTCACATTGCTGTTGAAGAAATGTATGCAAATTGGCACATATTAAATGAGAAAAATGCCTAATTTGCATATTTAAACATAAAATGTCCCCAAATAAATATTTACTTTATAAAATAAATGAAAAATCAAGACTTCAAACACAGTTCGAATAGATAGGACGTGTACAGACTGAAGCATTGGCTGGACACTCGAGGGAAATTAATTGGCTAATTTAATTCATAAGACGCTGTGGGATCTGGAAAAGTAAAACTTTCCCATGCAGCAAAATGTTTGGACGGGTCAACTGAGAGACTGAGAGAGTGGGGTGCGATGTGGGACACAAGATTAAGTAAGCTGGATTTAGTTTTTATAACCAAAAAAGGTACTTTACTACGTTTGATTTGTTTTGACATGTTAGCTTGTGGACAGCAGGCCTTATCAATTATACATCAGAGGCTTTTAGAGACCCAGATATTTTACTTCCTCCTTTCACTACAAACAATGTTGCTTCCTCCCTTCTCAGTGAAATTAGTTTTGCTCCCTGAAGTAAATGCATAAGAGATGTGCTGCTGTCGTCAAATTGAGTCATTCCCAATTAAAGAGACCCTTCCTGACACCAAACTGAATGAAAACATTGAACAGACAGTCAGCACATAAATAGACAGTGCAAT